CTGAATTCCCATTGCAGTAGCATCTATTCCATCAAAAGTTTGTAAAACCGATTTAAACATTGTACAGTATTTAAATTGAAAGATAATCCTTAAAGTTTGCAAAAATGAAAAATAATTACCAAATTGAAATCTTTCAAAATGAATTCAACAGCACTCAAGATAATGCATAAAATAGAACCAATTACCTTAAATGAAAAATCAATACCAAATAATCGATTTATATGTACCTTCCCATAATGCTGATTTTACTGATATTAACATCAGACACAGAATTCAAGGTAATTTCAATTTTATTTGCAACCATTTTCTCTACTTCACTTCTAATGGAGTTTTCTGATGGAGGACTTTTCCGAATAATCCATACCACACTGTCAGATGAAATACTGAAAATTAAAACATAAAGCCATGGGCCACAACACTCACCTGAGTGAATATGGCCCTGTTGTTTTGACATCCGCAGATTTTTCTCCTTTACATTCCCATGCAAATCTTTGATTTCCCATTGTGACTCCACTATACCTCCATATGTCATGATTTGAGCAAACTTGAATCTACGTTACTTGAGGATGCTTCCATATTCATATGACTAATCATGGCTTTGTTGTTCTTGAGAAGATGATTTTTTTTTTTAAGATGTGGCCCAACCCTAGCCCCTAAGTGTCAAGATTATATTTTTTCCTTTATATTTCTTTGTTAAAGTTTGATCAGGTTTGTTCTATCATTTGGATCCTCCTCCTTCTTTCGTTGTTTTATGTTTGTAAATCTTTTTTTGCTCCTCCGGAGGCCCAAATTGGACAATTAAAATCTTGGATCTTGTATCTATTGTGGACCCATCCTAGCCCTCAAGGGTCAGAAGATGCTTCTGGATCAATATGACTAATTATGACGTTTCTGTTCTTTAGAAGAAGTTTTTAAAAGATATTTCCTATATATTCCTATGTATAACTTTGATCCCCTGTTGAAGCCCCACCCTACCCCCAGGGGTCATGATTTCAACAAATTTGAATCTACCCCTTTGCAATGAAGCTTTCACATAAGTTTCATCTTTTATGGTAAAGTGGTTCTTAAGAAGACTTTTAAAATATGCCATTAAATTTTCAATAATTCTGTATTATCTCCCCTTGGAAGAGGGTGTGGTCCTTCATGTGAACAAACTTGAATTCCCTTTACCCATGGCAAGGATGCTTTATGGCAAGTTTAGTTGATATTGGTTCTTGAGAAGAAGTCAAAATTGTGAAAAGTTTTAAAAAGACACATGACAGACCACAAATGACAGGCAGACAATGGACACCCTTTGATTAGAAAACCACACATTAGCTACATGTAGCTACTGGCTCAGCTGAGCTATAATCTGAAGAACACAAGTCTTCCCATTGCAAAAACTATTGATGTCACTAGCTGTCCAAAATTATTATAAGATATGTCAATTATTACAGTGTTAAGAAGGATTATAATCAATATCTCCTTTGCAACAGTGACATTACCATGAAAATTTTATTCTGAAAAATAATGCTTTCCTATTCACAATCAGGTTATGGTCACTTTTTCCATATGTAATCTAGCCATAATGCTGTTGCAAAAAAATACAGTCAATTTTGGACATAAAATATGCCACTTAACTGCATTACTAGTATTTTGAAAACTATCAAATCTTTTCTATCAAAAAATTATTTTACTCTGTACTTTTATGAATTGGGTATATATGATAAATATTGTGTAAAGATTAAAAGAATGGCTTGCACAGTTATAGTTACATGGACTTGCAACTTTCATTCCTTCTAAGGATAGGTGAGTTGCTTGGACAAATTCATATGTTTTATAATTATTTACATAAGAATATACAATGTTTAATTTAAAAAAAAAACTGTACTGCTTTTTAGGGACTTCTTTCATTGTCTTATTATAAAAGTCAGCACTATCATGCACCATTCTTCTATATCCCATTTATGACTACCAGCTATAAAATTTTAGAACAAAAGTATTCTGACCATATTGACTAAACTTAACTTCAAAATTCCTAGGTATTGTTGTTGTTTGTTTTTGATCGCTATTTTTCTATGTACCCGGTATGTGTATGTGGTTTTTTTTTTGGGGGGGGGGGGGGGGGAGGGGGGAGGAAGGGTTGCAGTGTCAAGTCATACACAAGCCAACTTGTAAACAGACCTACTCATACACAAGAAGTCAAATAGTATACAAAACCCAAAGGTCAACTCGAACACAAGGTATTTTGTATACAAAAGTGAACTGCTAATTAACTCATAAAGAAGGTTTTTTTCCCTCTTGTATATCATACATAATATATTGTATCATTTTGAAAAATACTAAACTTTTATTCAGAAAGTATACAGATTCAGAGAGTTTCATGATAATTTCATTCTGAATAATTTTCTTTTGAAAAATAGTATCCTCAAGAACTGATTTAAACAAAATTGAAAATTTAAATAATTATTATAAAAGTATTATTGACTAATACCATAAAACTTTCCTTATAAAATTGTTAATCAAACATTCAATTTTTATCTCATACAATTCCATAAAACTTACCTAATAAAAATGTTCAACAAACATGCAGTATCTCATAATTTATAAACTAGTGAAATTACCAAGTTGGAGCATCTCTTAATTAATAGCATTTGCCACAGATCTAAGTCACTGCAGAATATGTTTGTTTTAATTGTTGGTAATTTTATTTTAAATTTTTATACGTATATATAGAGAATAACAACGACTTCTAGTGTACGAGTAGGTCTGAGTACATTAGATCTGTGTACAAGTTGGTCTGTTTACATTAGGTCTGTGTACGAGTCGGTCTGTGTACGAGTTGGTTTGTTTACATTAGGTCTGTGTACAAGTCGGTCTGTGTATGAGTTGGTTTGTGTATGTTAGGTCTGTGTACAAGTCAGTTTGTGTACATTAGGTCTGTGTACAAGTCAGTTTGTGTACAAGCAGGTCTGTGAATGAGCCAGTTTGTGTCAGAATTAGTAAACTGTAGATTGCAGTGAATACCTTATCGAGTCTGTATTTTTCTCTGTGTCATTCACAAACAGCCCAAGTGTTACACTTTCACTTCTGCTGCCAGATAAAAAACTTAATGACACATTGTCAATCTACAAAGAAATAGGAAATGAATTTTATATTAGAATATTCTGTTTTAATACAGGTACCTGCATATACATGCTAGGTTATATTGAACATGCTCTTGAATGCATCTTTTTTTTGCATGTAGCAAATCTGAGGCCTAAACAAGAACTCACAGAATAAAAAAAATTGCATTATACACTACCGTCACTGCACAATTCTTTTTTCTGCTTGAACTTTCGGTAAGGCATGACATTCTCGGCTATACATAATTAGTGTCTCTCAAACAGTGACCTAGATTCTCATTGGTTGCCAGATTAGCTCATAAATACTGAAATTTACACAGCTTAATTCATTCACGGGTGAAATACACATGGGATAAAAATAGATCAGACGTCAACGAGTGACACAAGGAACCAATTACATCGTTTCCTACAGTAAAGAGGTGTGGCTTATCTCATCCCATCGTTTGGTAACAGCAGTCTTAAGTTGCTAATGTTATTAATTTCTATACCAATGAGAATCTAGGTCAGAATTTGAGAGATGCTAATTATGTATCGCCGAGAATGTCACACCTTACTAAAAGTTCAAGCAGAAAAGAGAATTGTACTAACAACAAGAGGCTCAAGGGCCTTAATGGTCACAACAGTTTAGAGGATCCATAGAGATCCGAGTATAAAATAAACTGATAGAAGAAGCTTTGTCTCCCAAAAGCAAAAGAAACAGGATGATCAGGATCAATGAAGTAATTAGTCTAGTATTGAGTAACATCTCATAAATTAAGTTCCAATCTGTCCTCCTCATTTATCACTATTACCATACAGACTATTAATATACTATTAGTGCTTCTATACTATTTTTAACCTCATATCATAACCTCTCACATTGGCCTCTCTTGATCTTTGAAAAACAATTAATAAGATACGTACTGTATAGGGGATTAATTTCACGGGTTGTAATTTTCACGTTTTTCTTTCCTCTAACACGACCATGGTTTGTTGAATTCGTGGTATTGGTATATACTCAGTAATAAAAAATATCTTGTCTTTATCTGTTTAATCCATATCATAGCTAGAATAAATCAGCGTTATGTATTCACTTCATGAACAATAACAAGGTCGATTTATATAAAATAGCTAGATTTTAGCAATTAATTGACGATGACTTTCCTATATGCTTTTATGATGAGTGCATGTACACCCCAAGATCTTCTTTCCAAAGGGATATTACATCGCAGTGAAAAACCAATGGACGATAATAAATGTGTTAAAGTAGGTCAACGAAATAATATCCTTTGATATCTTCAGCAAGTTCAATAGTTACTTGAATGATTTTTTTAAACCAAAATGTCGATAAAAACTAATACGCATGATATTGCACGTAATAAATACACATAGTGATGTTTGTTACGGACGGGTAATCAAAACCCATGACCCAAGTGTTTTGATTGATGAAACATTTAGTGTTGGCTAGTAAAACAGTTGTTTTTTTTTACAATGATTACAGATTATTATCTGCTGATTTGAATTAAAGTAAAGCGTGATAATAGAAATAATTGAATGACAATTACCAATCGTAAATACTGAATGACCATGTACTGCATGTGCCTATCGTAGTCTACTCTCAAATTTCTAAATAAAACATGAAGATTATTAAAAATTTATTCACTGTTTCTTGAATTCATTGATTTATTAATATCATAAATATAGCGAATATTAACATCGCGAGTTATTTTCCCCCTATATAGTAAGTTATTTTTGTCTCATTTTTGTTTATCTATTATTTACAAGTCTATCTGTTCAGTAAAACTATAAAAGTACTTTTTGTATTATACAATAAAAATTCTTGCATAATTCACTTTTTCTATTAACCTTTCAACTACATTATTTAAGTGATGAATTATCAAATGTGAATGGTAAAGG